TAATTATTTTTATAGTCATTTTCCCTATAATTTGATTATTTATTATGATGGCTTTTTAACTTCAGCTTTTAATATTTTTTATTCTTAATGACGCTTCAAACATTGTTAATATGAAGATTTTTTTTCTACATGTTTCAACGCATATATGAAGAAGAAAAAAAGTAAAGATAACTCAAAATTTTTTGATAAATCTCCAATCTACAACTTTAAATTGTAACTTATGCAGGTTTCTATGTAGAAGCCTACGACAATAAACGTTTTCCACAGATCCACAGATTTAGATTTATTTCTTAGTTATGGTCAAAGACATTGACGGTAACACTCAATTGTGTTTGTTTAAAGGAGAAGAATTTTGTTCGAGAATTTTATAAATAGTAAATATATAGCAAGACGACATCGAAACTTGCTGTGATCAAGAACTCTCCTTTTTTTTACTTTACAGTTTGAATGTTAATTTGTTACATACATTTCTCAATTATGGTGACTATGAACCTATGAAAGATGATTAGTTACTCTGAGAATTACTGATAAACTTTTTTTATCTTGCTTATTTGGGTTCTCAAAAGAAAAATTTGCAGCTAATTTAATTTTTGTTACTAAACATTTTTTTACTTTATGATCATAAAAAAAAAAAAAAATTTACTATGACTTTTCATATTTCGGTTATTAGGGAATCTATAGGGGTTCGCTTAATAAAGGGAAGAGGATCAATTATATTGGCAAATGGTTAGCTTTATATTTCCAAGTTGATGATGCAGTGATCTTCCTAACATGGTTTAAATAAAACACTATAACAAATCAATGAATGCGATACATGTATGGAAATCAAAGTAAACAAGCGATGGAAACAAGCAAGGAAAAAAATAGAACATTTGTTTAGGTAAGTTAAAGATAACTAACACGCACTAAATTTAGTAAACTTGAGTAACCTTTACAAAAAAAAAAAACATTCGCTAATAGTTTGTTCTTCTATGTTGAATTTAATTCACATAACAGAAAAAGAAGAAGTTTCTATCATAAGATGAGTGGTATAATGATCATGTAAACTACTCTGATTTGAAGAACTATTTGATGCCGCAAATTTCTTTGCGTTTGAATAATCATGAGAATTATCTTACTACTTTTGATACCAATAAAAAAAATTATAGATTACATATCTAGATTTGATGGGTTCTCATATCTAGATTTGTTTATGATGTTCTAAAAAAATGATGTAGTCTTGAAAAAAGAAATTAACGGTTTTTAGTAGAGAAAAGTTTAATAAGCTTTTTGAAGATAAAAGAAAAACTAATATAAAAGTCAACCAAAATAAGAACACCTTAAAAAAATATGTAAAACTAACAAAAAACCAATAAATTTATCCAAAAAAAAAAGCCAGTAAAAAAGCTAATCAAAACAAGAACACCTTAAGAAAATAAGAAAAAAATAATTTTTTTCTACATAAATATCTAAAAACAACCAAAAATCTAAATTTAATTTAGGTTCTAAACATTAGATAAATAATAATTAAAAAAAAACCACGCATTTGCGTGGGTAATCATCTAGTATTTATCATTAACGACACAACGATGGAAATATAAATCTCTGCAATAATTTAAAGTACGAAAAAAATAGCAAACAACTCTATATCACTATATGTACCACATTCACGATAAAAAATCATAATAAAATGGTTTTATTTGCACTACTTTAGAATTTTTTTGTCAATTCACTTCCATTTAATCTTCAAATTTCGTGCTCACAATAAGCACTTGGTTAACAAGAACAATTTAATAATTTTCAGAATATATAAGGAAACATATTTTTTACGATTTAATGCCGTACAAATTATCAAAGAACACTAACAGTAGAGATTCAGTGACAGATAACTCAATCTCCAAATTCCAATCCATATCCACAAGAAAAACACATCTTCCTAGTCAAATAACTATTTTCAATTGAATCGTCAATAGTATGGTGAAGATAGAGAGACAAGTCACATCCTATGTGGGAAGAAGAAACATACCAAACCCCAAAGCTATGTTTTTGCTTTGTCAACATCCTTCACTCCCCCATTAACCCATTGTTTCTGTCACCCCCACCCTTCCAATTCTCATTCTTTTCAGATTTTCAAAAACGTTTTAGAACCAACAAAATAATTATAACAAGATGAAGATAGTTTTTCCTGTCATAGACCATCTTTCATAATCCTCATTTTATTCGTTGGCTATCTTCCCAACCACAAATTCGCTCTGCATAAACACCTTTCAATAACTGAACCAACATATGCACTTGTCCCTCGAATTTATTTCCTCATCAAATCTTCTTGTTTTCTTCTTAATTGATTAATTAATGCGTTCAGTCAATTCTCTCCATGCATATATGAATTGGGTTCTAGTATCTTATCTAGTTCAAGTTCTAAAACATGCGGTGTAAATATAAGGAAATTTTTTTGTGGATGCTATTAACGTTTGAATGATGTGAAGAGTGGATATAATATGACTACGTGGATCTATTCTTCACTATACTTTGCGGATTTTATCTATGCAAGACCTTTTTTTGCTTATCGATGCAAGACTTCCTCTTAGCTTTTAGCCATGAACTTATAGTTGATCTAATGGATATGCTGGAGAATTTATTTGATTGCTATCATGACAAATATTTAGCTTTTGTTTTACTTGTGATGTATAAGTAACTTAGTAAAATATATGTGACTGGCTATTCCTATATTTTTATGTGACTCACCAAAACTAAAGGATAAAGGCCTGCTACTTGGACTGTAGAAGTGTATATATAATTTGTGTCGAATACTATTCTAAATTCCAACTATTTTATATTTATGTTTATCTATATGATCGATATTTGAAGATATGGCTTTAACCAGAAAATAAAAGCTCTAATGTTGACGTATATTCAATCTTTGCCACATATCAAATACTAACCGACCGATAAAGATTAGACAAGGTCGAAATACAAATCAAACCATTTAGATGCAAATAATAGAATGACACATTGATTTGAATGAATCTTCAGCATCAGCTTTGACCGATGTACATCGGTTCTACCGAATTGCAATGCATACGTTAGTACAAATATTATTAGAGCTAGTTAGGGCACACCTATTGAAAGGATTTAGGGAAAAAGATGTGTTTGTATTGATTGAAGAGAGTATTTATACAAGTATGTAGATCCTAAACCTAATAGGATTAAGCTAAATTAGATTACGCTAAATACAATCTTATCTCAATAATCCCTTCAAGTTGGCAGTGAAATGTCTTGAATCCCCAACTTAAATAAAAGATAAATAAACGTTGAGGCTGGTAAAGCTTTGGTAGTAAGATCAGCAGGTTAATCGTTGACATGAAACGATTTAGGGAAAATGATGTGTTTGTATTGATTCACAAAAGAGAGTACTTATACAAGTATGTAGAAACTTAATAGGAATAAGCGCTGAACTAGATTATGCTAAATAAAAATATTTTCTTATCTCTAATATATTACGATCTTATTTCAATACCTATAATACATATTATAGATTATTTCCATATGTACATATGGTTTCTTAAAATTGGATATCACTAGTGGCTAAAACACATAAAAACAATCTATGAACTAGCAAGTCGGAGTAACGAGCACAATCCAAAATTTATTTGTTCATGCCCGTAGAAGTACAAATAATACTAGAATGTAATGTAACTAAGATGATATGATATATATCATACCACTAGTACATTAGTCCAAGAAATAAATGTTCGATATAGTATTTGATAAGAGAAGACTAGACAATAGGAGACAGGTCCCAAAAAAAAAAAAATAATAATGAATGACTGGTAGAAAGAGATTTATGAGATGGTCCGGGTTATAACGTTAGGCCCTTTTCATAAACGTACAGGTGTTAGATTATACTATAAATCTGTTTTTCCTGTGACCACAACATATTGCAATTGACCACGTGGGTTTATTTTCCAAATCAATTCAATTTCTTTGGTATATAAGGAACTTTATATGTATGCTAAACAAGGCAATTAATCCTTACATCTTCCAATATATTTTGGCCCCTACATTTTAAACACAAGTTCAGACTAATTTCAAGACTATAGAACCATTATGTTTCACACTTCATAGTGGCCACATTGTGGACCAAGTGAGGTTGATCCAAGATCTTGACGACCTCCAGTGAGATATCTATTAGTAGAAAGAGATTGTATGTGATCTAAATCAATTCATCAGTTGTAATAACATATTTGATAGTTTTTTTTTGGACAGGCATATTTGATAATTTATGTGTGAACACTTTAGTGGTTTGACGGTCGAGTAATTCCTACATTTTAATTCACATGATCCCATTATGGCACGTGACATCTCACATCTATCATAGATTTTTGGGTTGGTAGAGTAACTCCTATTAAAAATTATATTTTAGATGGAAAATGCTAACAGCATTACTGGCGAGTCTTTCTCTTTTCTCTCTTTCATATTTTTTAGAGAGAGAGGGTGACAAATTTCGATCATAGATCGGATTAAAAATCTGGCATGTCCAGATACATTTATTGTAATATATTTTTCTACTTCATCGAATAATAAATTCTGGCTTGGTCCAGATTTTCTATGCTCCATCTCTTCCGTCGAAGAATATCTCTTGTAGATGAGGCGGCAATGTACATATCTGATGGCAAGTGCTGGAATTCTCCTTCTTCAATTTTTGGATATTAGTTTTTCTTGGTTGGGAGTTAAGATATCCCTAATCCCCTATTAAGAAATATTGGTGTTTGAATAAGTCTTAGTCGTTGGTCTATCTCTACAGTCAAATAAGTCATATTCTTATAGAGTTTAGTTAGCTGAATTAGTTCTTATTTTCTAGCTATTTCTGTTGTTCTTTGAATCGATTGTAAGGCTTTTTAAAGTCGTCATTGTTAAGTCAATAAAATATTTTTTTTAGTCTCAAAACTTTGACTACCACATTTGGTATCAGAGCCGGTGAAAAGGAACAAACGAGTATAAGAGAGTAATTCAAAAGAGAGATGGCAAATTCTGAGAAGTATGTGCAACCGGCCATACCAAGATTTGGTAGCCACTATAATTTTTGGTCCATGACCATGACCATGGAGAATTTTCTCAGAAGCCGAGAGTTGTGGAGTCTGGTAGAAGAAGGAATCCTGGCAATGACAGTCGGAACATCAACGAGTGAAGCACAGAGGAAAGCGGTGGAAGAAGCCAATCTCAAAGACTTGAAGGTCAAGAACTTTCTATTCCAGGCGATTGAGAGGAAGATTTTGGAGATAGTTCTTGACAAGAGTACCTCAAAGGCAACTTGGGAGTCAATGAGAAAGAAACACCAAGGCTCTACAAAGGTGAAGAGGGCGCAGTTACAAGCACTAAGAAAGGAGTTTGAATTGCTGGCCATCAAAGAAGGAGAGAAGATTGATATCTTTCTGGGGAAAACCTTGGCGGTGGTTGACAAGATAAAGATAAACGGTGAAGTGATAGATCAAAGCACAATCGTATGCAAAATACTCCGATCGTTGACGGTGAAGTTTAACTACGTGGTGTGCTCGATTAAAGAATCAAATGATCTGAGTACAATCAGCATTGATGAACTACATGGAAGTTTACTCGTTCATGAGCAGAGAATGAATGGGAAGAGCAGGCTTTGAAAGTGTCTCAAGAAGAAAGAGCAAGTAGAGGAAGAGGTCGTGGATTATTCAGAGGAGGTTGTGGTAGGGGAGAGGAAGAAGCTCATTTAATAAGACTCTTGTTGAATGCTTCAAATGTCACAATTTGGGACACTTTTAGCACGAGTGTCCATAATGGGAAAAGAAAGCAATTTATGCAGAATTAGAAGATGAAGAAGAATTGCTTTTGATGTCGTATATGGAGAAACATAAGACGAAAAGAGATGAAGTATGGTTTCTTGATTCAGGTTGTAGCAACCATATGACCGGGAGCAAGGAGTGGTTCTCAGTCTGGAAGAAGGATTCAATCGTACAGTGAAGTTTGGAAACGACACAAGAATGTCTGTGGTGGGAAAAGAAAGTGTGAAAGTACAAGTTGATGGTGTTACTCAAGTGATACCTGATGTGTATTATGTTCCAGAGCTTAGGAACAATCTGACAAGCTTTAAACAACTGCAGGAGAGGGGATTAGCAATTCTAAGACGCGACGGAACCTGCAAGGTGTTTCATCCTAATAGAGGCATAATCATACAAACTAACATGAGTGAAAATAGGATGTTTTTCCTTCTCGCTTCAATGCCGCAGAAGAATTCACTATGCTTGCAGACATAAGAGGTGATGAAGAAGGAATCTCATCTATGGCATTGTCGGTTTGGACACCTAAACCAAGAAGGGTTAAAACAACTTGCACCACAAGAAGATGGTTGTTGGTTTGCCTGCTCTGAAATCCACCAAGGAGATCTGCATTGTTTGCTTAACTGGAAAACAACATAGAATATCAATTTCGAAGAAAAGTTCATGGAGAGCATCAAGACATCTTCAGCTAGTACACTCGGATATATTTGGACCTATCGCTCCAATTTCACACAGTGGCAAGAGGTACATATTGAGCTTCATTGAAGATTTTACTCGAAAAACCTGGGTCTATTTTCTTCATGAAAAGTCCAAAACGTTTGCCACGTTTAAGATTTTCAAAGCAATTTTAGAGAAGGAGATTGGTGCTTTCATAAGTTGTTTGAGGACAAATAGATGTGGAGGTTTACCTCTAATGAGTTTAGAGAATTCTGTAGAAATCACAGCATCACTCTGCTACGAACGACAGCATTCACACTCTAGAAAAACGGAGTTGCTGAGAGGAAAAACAGGACAATTAGGAAAAACAGGGTGTGAACACACCCTGTTTACTAAGGCAAAAGGAAGTAATATTATAATTGTCAGCTTATATGTTGATATTTTAATATATACAGGAAATGATAAAGCTATGTGTGATGAGTTTAAGAAGTCAATAATGCTAGAACTTGAGATGTCTGATCTGGAAAAAAATGAAGCATTTTCTAGGAGTAGAAGTGAAACAAAGTCAAGATGGAATCTTCATTTGTCAAAGAAAATATGCTCGAGAGGTCTTAGCAAGAATTGGAATGGAAGAAAGCAATGCCGTGAAGAATCCCATTGTGCCTAGAACGAAATTACGGAGAGATGAAAATGGCGAAAAGTTTGATGAAACCATGTTCAAACAGTTGGTTGGAAGCCTCATGTATCTGACCGTGACGAGACCTGATTTGATGTACAGAGTATGTTTGATAAGTAGGTTCATGGCTAATCCAAGGATGTCACATTAGCTTGCTGCAAAGAGGATTTTAAGATATTTAAAAGGTACCGTTGAACTTGGAATCTTTTACAAGAGAAGTGAGAGTTACAGTCTGAAGCTCACGGCATTCACGGACAGTGATAATGCCGGCGACTTGGATGATCGGAAAAGCACGTCGGGTTTTGTATTTTTGATGGCATCTGGAGCAGTCTCTTGGGCATAAAAAAACAACCGGTTGTAGGACTTTCCACTACCGAGGCAGAGTACATAGCTGCACCATTTTGTGCTTGTCAATGTGTTTGGCTCATAAGAGTATTTAAGAGGACTGTATTTGAAGAAAAGTCTGCGACTGTGATTAATTGTGACAATAGCTCTACCATTCAATTGTCAAAGCATCCAGTTTTTCATGGAAAGAGTAAGCACATTGAGGTGATGTTTCATTATTTCAGGGAATTAGTGAGTGGTAAAATTGTTAAGCTGGAACATTGTCCAACGGAGAATCAAGTTGTAGACATTTTTACAAAACCATTGAAGCTGGAGCAGTTTGAGAAGTTACGAGGATTGTTTGGAGTTGTTAACTGTTTCTGAAGTAAGCTAAATTCAGATGAATTAGCTTAAGGGAGGGTATGTTGGTATTTGAATAAGTCTTAGTTGTTGGTTTATCTCTGCAGTCAAATAAGTGATATTCTTATGGAGTTTAGTTAGATGAATTAGTTCCTATTTTCTAGCTACTTTCTGCTGTTCTTTGAAATGATTGTAAGGCTATTTAAAGTCGTTATTGTTAAGTCAGTAAAGTTTTTTTTTCAGTATCAAAGCTTTGACTACTACAATAAAAGCATTTTTAAGGTAAATGATGGATATATCTTGAGTTTGAGATGATCAGAGGTGGTGTTTACGAAGAAGAAGTCAAAAACTGCTGGCCTTAGAAGTACACAAAATCTAATCGGAGGAGTATGTAAATTGAGAAGATTGAGTAGTTTAGTGCTTCAGCATGGTGGTCAACGTTGCATGGCTGAAAATTTTCGTTGGCGACTGTTGAACAGCGGTGCAACGCAATCATCGGTAAGCTTTACATATGTCTTTTAGCTTGTGTAGGGTTTATAACACGTTTTCGACAGGTGGTAATGAGGTTCAATTAGGCGTAATGTATATTTTGTATTGGATTTTAATTTATTTGCGTTGTAAATTGTTTTGCCTTTTTGGGCTTACGTTATAAAACGAGTAGATGACAAAAAAAAATATTGGCCAAAAAATGCAAAATCTCGATTTGATAAAAATAAAAAAAAAATATGTCAACGGAATATTATAAGGAGAAAATTTGAAATTATACAATTGGCAAAAACATAGAATCAAGTTACTGGTAGAAATGAGGAATCATACTTTTTGGCAGAAAAACACAATCTTGCATTTGGCAGAAAATTAGATAATTATTGTTTTACCAGAAAACAGAAACTCACATTTTGGTAGAAAACACATCACATATTTGTGTGTTTTTGGAAAAACTACAAAGAAAAAAACAATCGAGTGAAAATTTACTAAAACAATTGAATTTTTTGAAAAAAAAAAATGAAATGTGTCTAACCGAAGACACATTTATTCACCTTTAGGTTAATAACCCTTTTAAATTTTTTTATTGAAAATCTGATAAATGGGTCTATAAAGGGATATATTTTTTTATTAAAGATCTGCTTAGACCTTCCAACTGGTTAAACTATGTAGTTGTACTCGATCAATTAGTTATTTATATATTGTTTAGCCAGTGATTCAGTTAGAATCACATGTAGCAATAATATATTAGAACATCAACAAAAGAGTTTTTTTTTTTAAGTGAAGTGAAGTCCTGATTCTGATCACTTCAAGTTTTCTTGGATCTTAAAAAGTGAATAGTGACTAAACATGCATTACATTTAAAGTTTATATGGTTTATCTTAAGCTATATATATCGTACAATACAATTTAGTTAAGAAAATTATATCATGAAGAAAGTCAAAGTTCATTTATATCCTAGTGGTTAAATTTGTATTAATTGATGATTAGAGTAAAGTTATATAAAAATATTACAATTGGAGAGATGTATTAAAAAGGTCCTACAATACACAAAGCATTGACATAAATAAGAGAATCGGACACTGATATTATGATTCTTAATGTTGGTGGAACCAGAGACATGGTTAGCACCTCCCTTTGCTTAAAATATTTTCAACGTATTTTATTTCTCAAGAGAAAATTCATATACTTTTGTAAATGTAATAAAGTAAGACACTGTTTAATTTTTCATTTTTTATGTGGCCATAACAAATAACTTAAAAAAAAGGGAAGTCGTAAAAGAGGAAGGAAAACACATTAAAGAAGAAAAATATGAAGTGGACCTTTTTTGCCTAACTTAATCATTGCACTAACTAAGCCTCAATTTTATTGGATTTCTTCCTCGTATTTTTGTATGCAATGATGTACCCGACAAAATGTTACTTCTACTGTCAAATATACCATAAATTATATCATGGAATCCTAAAGGTAAACATTGGTATAATTTCGAACAGGTGTAAAGTCCAAATGATCACAGTCAGATGATGAGATTGGAGCGAAATTTCTGTAGTTTATAAGAGATTTGACTTTGAAGAGAGATTGACTTAAAATGAACAGATCGGTGACTGTGTTTTTTGTATTAAATAGTTTGGTGTGCTTTCAAGATGTGTTTTAGTGGTTTGCTAAGAGAGAAAAATAAGTCCAAAGCTTAAAAAAATCCTCTTATAAATGAGCTTTTGCAGGTATTTATAGTCGGGTTGAACAAGCAGATCTCCGCGTATCCAAAATAATATGGCAGCTGCAGTGTCTTTTGGGGGTATACTCCTCGAACCTCGCACTCGAGCTGCTCTACAGCGAATAGGTAATTATGAGTTCATCGCCGAATTACTGTACAGATAGAGCAGATAGAGCACTGATGGCGAATTACCTCTCTATAACGTCAACACAGTAGGCCTTGTTGATTGGATATATTTGACTTCTTCTTTGATTTAGTCGACCGGGCCTTAATGTTGAAATGGGCTTAACTAATTTGAGGTGCTAAGACTACCACCAACAACAAGATCTTTGATATAATTTCCAATGAGACAAAGTGTGAGACCTCGATCCCATCTTTTCTTTTAGAGAACCAGAGGGACCGGTTATCACTTATACTGAGACCCCGATCCCGTCTTTCATTTGTATTGGCTTTCAACTCTGAATGCTCCAACCACTCTTTCAACACCCACTCTTTAGGCCCATGGGCCCAACGAACTCTCGTTAGGTCTGTTGGCCCAACATCCTCTTTATAGGTCTATTGGTCCACTACTATCCGACGGTCAGTGCGTTAGTCCGGAAGGTTTTTAAAATTTTTCTACTGTCCCTGCAATCA